ACTTCTGAGCCTGCTCGCCTGAAGTTATGGTTGATTGCTTTTGCTCCTCCCGCGACAACACCCATTAACGTAAACTACGCCAGAGCGCATACACACCTCACGCACCGGAAGTCGTGCGCGCGCATAAAGACAGTTGGACATAGTGGTGAATTAGAGGTAAAACTGATATAAATACTGTTCGATTTCTGGCACTAACCGATCGTTTCGTGTCTTAGGACATCAATGTGTCGTCACGAGCCGCAGGGTTAATTTGGATTTGTCTGTGCATGTTTTTTTTTTTACACCTAGATTTTGTTACCATTGCCATGCATTATAAGACAGAGACTCCAACGGTTGGACTTAAAAATCATCAAATGTGTTCTACTGAAGAAACGAAGTCACCTACATCTTGGATGCCCTGGGGGTAAGCAGATAAACATCAAATTTTCATTTTTGGGTGAACTATCCCTTTAAGTCACAAGTGCAATGCTGTTACAGGTGAGCTACCTAGAAAGTTTGCTTCATCAGAAAAGCCATATATACAGAGTTGGTTTTGTGACGCAAACTTCAAAGTAGTTTAGAAATCATCTACTATTGTAAAAGTGTTTTGAGGTCATGACATGGTATTGTGCAAAGAACTGAATAAATAAATTGCTCTTATAATCATGATTTATGTTAAGCAGGAACAAATGCTGTTGTTTTACCACCACTAGTGATAATTTAAACTGGAAACTGTAGTGAATTGTATGTATATGTACATTTTTGGAGTTATGTTGCCACCTCTGTATGTTTTAATGATCACATAAGGGCCTCAGTCGAACAGATGTCTGCACACATGAATGTTTAAGTAAACATCTGCTCATAATGTCTTTGGTTACCATGGATTTCTTAAAGCATGAACCTGGTTTAACCATAATCAGTGGCTTCCTACATAGTTTAGCTTATATGGTAGTAAGCAGTACTGTATTGTACTGTTGAAAATACTTCACAACATGAAAATGCTTCTGAAGTGCACAGATTTACATAATGTATGATAATTTTACAGTAATCATCGGTGTGTCATGCAACTATCTATTGTCCATCCAGTCCATTAATTTGTCAAGCTCTCTACCTCTGTATCTATTTATCTACATGTATGCATGCTATTCATTTCTGTATATGAAGCAGGCTTAATGAAATCAGGTATGGGAGCATTGCACTATAGATGTTTAACATAAAAAAAGCTTGAAATCATGCCACAATTTACAGTGTTAATGTAATATGTAACTGTTAACTTAAATTATGGTAATTTACCAAATGGAAAATACCTTGAAACTGTACTTAATATTAATATAATTTGAATCTCATGTGATCACTATAACAGCTCCTGTAAAACTCCAGGTTGTGGTAATTTACCGCCCTCCTGGGCAAATTCTATCTACCTTCCTAGAAGAGTTGGATGGGCTGCTGTCCTCATTCCCAGAGGATGGCAGTCCACTTTTAGTCTTTGGCGACTTCAACATTAATCTGGACAAGCCTTATGCTACAGACTTCCATTCACTCCCCCCAATTGTAAGTCGCTTTGGATAAAAGCGTCTGCTAAATGACTAAATGTAAATGTAATATTAGTATTATTATAAGTAGTAGTATTATAATACCAAAGTGGGGGTCTATTTTCAGGAAATTCAACAGTCCACCATCATTTAATTTTACAATTAAACAAGAATTGTTAAAAGATGGGTTATGCTTCATTCCACCCTTAAATTATTATATTCATGCCGCAGTTGATAGAACTACTAGAATAATTAAACAGCAAAGTTTTATGCATATTTAGGTGGTTTTCTTTGGCTGGAATTCATAAAATGTGCTTAAGCCTGATGCATACATTTAATTAAAGCCATTTGCTGAAACTGGCAGTGCTGAAGCTAATGACATGTTGGCCAGTCCCTGTTAAATAAGGAAAATGTGCGTATCACTACTTTTTTTTTTCCATTGAAGTTTCAAGTTAAGCTTTTTATTTGACATTTCTTAGCTACATTATCACTTCAATAGTCCATTCTTTAAAGGTTTTCTGTACCATTCTCATTCAGAGGTCATATTTAAATATGTCTTTTAAGAGACAAATGCAAGTCTAAAATTGCTGTCTGAGTCTCTGTGTTCAAAGGTGCACTGACCTGGATAATGTCAAGTCGTGAGTGGCAAGACTTTGGACTTCGAAGAAAAAAATCCTTCAAATTAATAGCATGTGATCGAAATTCCATGCATGCAGTTTATTACATTTGAAAGGTGACTCGTCCCCTGAATTGTGGATCACGGCTTGTTCTGACGGTCTTTTCAAACTCAAGGCCTCACTGAATAGCCCCTTGTAATCTGGTCGATTTAATGAAAGCGAGGAAGTGAGTGACGGGATTAAAATATTGTTCAAAAGCCATTCTTTACAGTATATGATTCTAAAGGAACTCTAAAAGTTACAACTCTAATTGCCTGCAGGGTTGTGTCACGCTTGTACTACCCTGAGGAGCGAGGAACGAGAAGACACAGGAGAATTCACAGTAAACACAGTCTTTAATCCTTCCAACACGGGGTATACAGGGCGGACAGGAACACATGTAGCACACGATGAACATACAATATCGGGCCAGGGAGAATGGCACAGGCTAGAACTTAAATACAAGGGATAATTGGGGAACACAGGTGACATCAATGAAACATAATCAAACTAAACGAGGACATAGATAAGGAAAAACAGGAAGGACTACGGGGCAAAACAGGTACAATAGTCTGACAGGTTGAAGTGGATGGAAATATTGGGACAAGGGGAGAAAAGTCAACTGTGGCCAAACACTGGTTGAATTGCCATTTCCCATCTCTACATCAAGATTATCCTTTTGTTTAGCAGCAGCAGACTATCCCTTGGCTCATTTTAAGAATATATTGCATGAAAGGGTGTACGAGGACTGAGGGAAGGCTCTGTCCTATCTCCGTTTCACTCTTGTGTTATTTCCACGTCTACTTTCTTCTTTGACCTCTGGCGATAGTATTTCTGAAGACCAAAAGCCTAACAGAAACAGACTTTATGTACCCTCATTATGAATCATCATTTTAATAATTTTTCACTAAGTGCTGTATTGACTCCTTTCAGTCTACAGGATATGTGCTCCACAGCTCCCGGCATGCTTTGCAAGCCCAACTCAGATAATTAGGCCTGGCTGTGCCGATCAATAATGCCAGCTGGAAATAGGGTGGACAACAGATCACACCCCGGGCTGAGAGTGGTAGCACCAGAGGGAAGGATAGAGAGAGCAGAGGGGGAAAGAAGATAGATCAGCAGGTGAGGCACTTGGGAAGTGCTGAGTGATTTGTTCAGATATACTGCAAGGTACTGAGGACATGAGGAGAGGGCTGGGGGAGAGAGAAGGCCTGCGGAGCGACTGCGGAGAGACATGCACTGCCTTCATCCGTCACACAAGTTTTTTTTTTTCAGCATGATGGGACTTTCCATTGACTTCTTTTGTTGTTATACAGAACTTATGAGACTGTTCTCTATCCCTAAAATTAACTCTCACAAATATATATTTACTCTCACAAATATATCTGTGTGTATTTCCTGTGTGTATGTTACGTACCGGGATATCCACTACTCAAGCCTCGAGGTGTGTGCTCTTGCTCAATTCTTCATGTCAACGATCTCCACACCATCTGCAAAGTAGTAAAACAAATCTTTATCATATTGCATTACTTGCCTGCACCAACCAGTTTGCTCTTGCTGCAATACATTTCTATATTGTTGAAATGTATTTCATTTTGTTACACCTGCACGTTTCACTTTAATACTATTATTCATTCTTTCATTATTTCTTTCTTTCATTCTTTGTGATCAGTTCTGCCAATGAATATGTTCCAGCAGCCTGATATTATGTCCCCTCCCCACCACACTTATACAATAAATGTCATTTTAAAAGCCAAACTAAATCACACAGTAAAATGCAAGAGCAACTTTGGCCCTGAAAAACCTGTACACCTTAGCAAGCATTTCCACTGTGACTGACAGAA